GTGAAGTGCGGAGACACCTTCCCTAGAGAGCCCTGACCTGGCTGCCCTGGCCCGAGGGGGGACCTGCCGGGACTCGAACTGGGCCCGGGCCGCCGCGGGACGGATGCAGCTCTGGGGAGACTGAGGTTCTGGAGAGCGGTAAAGGAGAACAGAGAAACAGCAGCCTACTTCTCTGAGTTTACGTTCTCTTGATCCAGCAGGCACCACCCTAAAGAAGATGTGGCGTTAACCTCATCTCTCATCTTGACCGTGCCTTTCTCTGAAGGCCGATTTTTCAATCCCTTGGCCAATCAGTGCCCACTGGCTTTCCGGCGCTCACCGTCGGCGGGTGGAGCTTTTAGGATTGAGGCTGAGAGGCGTTTTATAATCCCCAGGCTACGCCCTTAAAGTGCCTCTGGCCACCGTGTGTGCAGAATGGCTTGTGGGTAGCTTTATTCACTTTACACATTGTAATGATGGGTTTACATCAGGTTAATATTTTAACTACTTTGCAGTTGAGATGTCAGTATTCATAACTGGTTTCTGGGGGCTTGAATTATTTCTTAATCTCCCTTATTTTAAAAACCTGAGAAGACAGCATTTTGGATGTTGTTGCTCAGTGAGAAATCAAGAAAGGGAAGCCAGGCGGAGAAAAACAGATGGCGCTAACATTCCAGGTCAAACCAAACCAGGAGGGGTGAAGCAGGGAAGGGCCCTCGTAAAGGCCTGGGTCTCCCTCTGGTTCAGAGCAAGTACAGGAGGAAAGGGGGTGGGGGCAGGAATCCCCTAGTGGTACCAGGGGTGATTCCTAGGGAGAAGGAAAAGGTATTACTTCAGTAGGACTACAGTGGAGCTTCTAATACTTTTATTGCAGGGGAACCGTCTCCTCATATCCCCAAACCCTGGCTTTCACCTGCAGGGCCACTAACACCTAGTTTCTATTCAGCCCAGGGCTTCTTTTTCGAGGTCACTTCTGGATGTAGTACTATACCCATGTAACACTTTCTGCTTCCAGTTGACCTTGTAATCTCTGTTCCATTCAGTAGCTTTATTAAGTTAGAAAGTTGTTTTCTACTTTTGAAATCCAAGCCACCACACAACAGAATTAGAGTTTGCATGCGGAATGAATATTTTATTACTAGATTATAAAAATAAAATACAAAATAATTTTAAAACAGAACTTAAAACACTGTACAAAGCTTTAATATGATACAAATGGGAAAATTAAATAAATACACTTTTATGTACAGATGGCCTATACAAAAGCACTCCAAGTTACTGCCAATAATCTATGTCCTTGGTTGCCTGAGCAAAATCTCATAAAGGGAGCTGCTGGAGGGGAAAGGGACACATACAACACCTTTGGAGGTATTTCAAAGAGTAGTTTCTCATCTCTCTGATTTCAGGAAGAGCAGAAGAGAGGGAGAGAAAAGTGGATTGTTAAAGTCATCTATTCCAACTCACTGGTCTTGTTCAACAAGAGGGAATTCTGATTTGTGGCTGAATCTGATTTATCAGCTGCCAATAGCTCATAACTTTCAACAATTTACACCTACTTCAGAATTAACTAGATGTTCCTTCCTCTCACTTTTCTAAAAGCTGGAGCTTGTAAGTAACTGGCCTAGGCACTGGCTATTTTAGAAAAGGAGTCCAAGGGGGGACCAGTAACTCTCTACCAGGGAGAAGCGAGAGGTGCGCAAGCCTGGGTCACCTGTTCAGTTCTCTGGATTCAATCCACCCAATCCAATTTCAAAGCCCAAATGGCCCGGTATTGTATTTCCTTATCGTCCTATCTTTGTATGTCTGAAAGCTTTCTACCTTAGTGAACTACTATACCTCTCTGGTGAATAGTTCAAAGAGAAAACTGTTTTGGAAAAAGTACCAAGGGCTTTCCCCTCTCTGGGTAGCTCCCTAAAATAAGTTGCATTCAGGCTCTCATAGGTTGGTTTACTCTTGCAGGTGAGTGAAGAGCCTACAGACAGAGTCCAGGGATGGTGAAGTACTGTGCATGAGATTTTAAGGATTTAAACTATATATCCTAAGAGGAAAAAAGCATCATATGGCAAGGGCAGTCTATAAAAACTTGATTTACTCAATGTTTTTAATTAAGTAAACAAACACTTATATACACAGTACGAAACAATATTAAACCGCTAAAAAGAGAGGTAAAATTCCTATCCATCATTAGTGTAAAATTATGTCATCAGCAATTTTTATAGTCACATGGGCTCAAAGATCTGCCTCATCCAGTCCTGTTCTGTAGGTTGAGGGACCCAGAACTCTTGGCGGGGGTATCTGGAGACCTGGTCAGCACTGCCAGTGTACAAACTGTGCCCCACAGTATCACTTTCAATTAAAGAGGAGGCAGAAAACTGTTAAACTGTACAGGGCAATAAGAGGAAAGGCTTTACTACTTTTATGTGTCTCCTTAGGACCATGGATCCAGCAAAGTCTAAGGAAATACTCAAATCATTACTGAGTAATGTTACTTCTTTGCCATTCAGTGTTGAGATTGTATGGAATCTCAACATGATCCCGATCTTCTCATACACTTTTATGTTCTGATTTAAATTTGCTCAAGGGGAATATTTTTAGAGTAGAAGCAGATAATCACAACTGAATTAGAAAGTGGCTTGTTGGGCCAAGACCTTATTTACTTTATTTTACTTTAAAAAATTCTCTGTGAGCTGCTCTAGCAAGTTAAAGGGCCAACATTTAATGTCACAATTTCATGTCTAACCAGGGGTTTCTGATGGACTGAGGCGTGTAGCATCCAAATTCTCCTTTATGTAGATAAGGATCTTTGTCCCATGTCCTGGAATAACCTAAGAACGACAGGAAATCCCCATGAACTTCCTTTCTCTAGCAAATGTTGGGCAACAGATTCTGAAGAGACTCCCAAGACTAGCCTAGTCAAATTTCTCATAATTCCAGAGGGAAGGCCAAAATATTGAGAATACCCAATGATATGATGATTTTCTATCTACTTCCACAACCTCAATCCTCTGTTTCACCACAGTTTTATTGGGTGAAGACAGGGAAGTAGGATGTTCCAACAACCACATTAGGTTTTCCATGGACTATGTCCTCCCATGTGGTTTGAGGACTGGAACTGTCTCTAGTTCCCTTCTCTAAGTTAAGGTCTAAAAATGCACCTGTGGTTTCTGAATTTGAGTGTATATTGATACATAAGAACTACCATAGTCTCATATGCCCTAAACCTGCAAAACTTTCTGTATTAAATGATAGGTAAGGAGCTATTCTGAACCACATTCAAGAACGTTCAACAGCACCACCACAGTTGACAATCACTCTATCTCCCCAAAGATACAGGTGCTGAAGTATCTCTTCCCTTAGGCAAAGTCTCAACACACCTGTGGCAAATGCACATAAACAGGAATGGGCAGATCTGAAAAAAAAAACCATTTCCTAATATCTGAACATGACAGATGAAATGGTTCACTAACATATGCCATGTTTTGGTAGATATAAAGGAATGAAAGTAGTTTTTAAAATGTGAAAAACTTGATCTCCAAGACTAAATCTATACTTATCTACAAAAATATATTTTCAAACAGCCAGAGTAAAATGCATTTTTCTCCTAAGTGTCAATAAATTCTAAATTCTGGGTTCTGTTTTTCCTATCACCAATTCCTAATGTTAAGATTAGGAATGCAGAGTTGTCTGCTCTTGGGAAAAAAGCATCTGTTTTCAATTCAAAGCTATTGGGTATAGAAAAACTAATTATGGTTTTAGCTATTTGTATCTGGGTTTATAAAACATGCACCAATGTACACTTTTTCCTTGTAGAGTGAATGCAACCATAGAAACAGTAGCATAAAAATATATGACCTGGAAGGAATCTCTGATAGTACCGAAGAACCTCAGGTTCCCATTGTGGCTAGGAGCTAAATAGGAGCTACTGCACATATAGAACACTGAGTTAGAAAGCTGCTGAGATTTGTTTAGTACCCGAAAGCAAATGATATAAAGTGGATAATAACCACAATGGGCCTCAATTACCATTTTGCTACTTGTTTAGGACTTGATTAACTTGGCAACTTTTACAAAAAACATTCACGTCATAACATGCAACTTAAAAAAACAGTAAATGTTCCTATGTCACTGTCAACAAGGTCAGCTTGCACACCGAGTTGACAATGAGAGAGTCTGCCTGCCTAGGGATTAACATTCAAAGATTTATCACCTGTGTTTTAGGGTTAAATTTAATATGAGCCAGTTTTTCTTCTTTGTTCAATGTACTCACATGAAGTACCTTTAAGCTGTGCAAGAGATCATTAAGTGGGGTTTTAACACTTCAACCAACCCATAGACCCTAGAGATTTGGCAGCATAATTCAGGAGAATGCTACCTAAAGGGACTGAGCTATTGCTAACTCTATTTTCTATTCCACTCATGTAATTCCAGGGACTAGACATGGGAGGGTAAGGGCAAGTGTGACTAGGTAACTGGTCATTCTATTGTGACAGAAGAAACCAAGAGGTACTTGTCTTTCAAAAGATAATTTTAACTCCTGTTATATACTACTTTCAGTATAGTTTGACTTGACTTTAACAGCCTTATCCCTCATCTTAGGTAGAGTAACCAAACTGGTTTAAAATTATTTGAATGATCTATGTCACTGAAATCAGAAATATGCCATCACTAAAAAAAATAAATAAATAAATAAGTAAATATATAAAAAATAAAGAACTAAAAAACCCTAAACCAAATCAAACCAAAACCCCATTTTCTGTTTTATACTCCAAAATAAAACAAAAATAAAACTCCTTGTACCAACAGTGCTTGCTCAGGGCTGCCAACTTCTATTTTCAGCCTGAGAAACATCTAACACCTAAAAGCACAAACTGTGTTTGTTAAAATATAAAGTAAATCTCTATATAGGACAGTGTCTATCAGTGGATCTATTGATGCCTAAGATATATATAATTAGTCTGTTTTCTTTTGAAAGTCTTAGAGCAGAAACATCTTTGGTTAACTCTTTCCTCTACATGCAAAAGAAAATGTTCTTGTGAGGTTGTTCTCTGGATCTCGTCAATGCCATTTAGAAAAGGGGGCAACACAGTGCAAGGGCTGGGAGAAAAATGGAAGGAACCAAGAAAGAGGGAAAACATTCAGCTGCCATGTTGCCATCACTGTCAGTTTTGACTGTCAGCAGAGAAATGCTGATAAATAAAATCACACACACACACACCACAGTTGTAGCCTCATCAGCTTTTCCTATGTTTACTCCTAGCACATAAGACCAGAGTTGGGATTTAAAATTGGCTACAGTTTAGCTAATATAACAGAAAAAAAGATAATTTCTTGATTATCCCCCAAATCCCCTGCAAAAAAAGTAAATCGGAAAGAATGCAGAATGGCAATTTTAAAGAAATGTTTTAAAAATCTATTTATGGCAGATCTATGATTATCATCCCAGTTTATCCACTCGAATCATAAGGACAGAACTATGTGCTTAACATGACAAATCTCTGAAACAGTATTACAAGCATGTCCCAGTATTTTCTCCTATTAAAATCTTTTTTAAATGAAAAATAACCTATCTTGGCTTGTTAAAGACTGCCGACCTTTGCTTCATACACAGGGAAGGCAAGGAGAATCCGAGGTATCACATGACAAGAACAAATTTTTCAGAAAATGAAGCTAGGCAAGGCCCAGGTGGACACGCGGCACACAACAGAAGAGGAATTTTGCCATCTGTGATTTGGAAATTACAAATGGAGAATGAGAAAGAATGAGTTTATATAAGCATATGTCTCTCTATATATTTATAAATATTTATATAATTTACCATGAAGACATGCAAGTAGTGTTATAGCAACTATTATACAATATAACACAGAAGGATTGGTCTTCCAATATTACAGCTGCTTTAGATAAACAGCAAATATGTCTTATCTATTGCATTCCTCTGTAGTGTTTGAAACTGGAGAGAAATTAAGATTCCACACTATGCTACATTTCTTATAAGAGACCTTATATGCCTCAATAGTGTTTTGAGTTTGTTTTTTTAAAAGCTCAACACAGATAAAGGGAACAATGTTAAGTTCAGTACAGCTTCAAGCCTCGATGCAGCATTAGAATGTATTCACATGGTGAGGGAACATATCTCTTTTTTGTTTTCCAATTCAACCACATTCGGTTTGGCAGCAAACACAAGGTCAAACAGAAAGCACAGATGTTTGCTAGAAGGCAAATTTCAAGAGCAAGCAGACCAATTTACCTGACCTTAATAGGGTCTTTACAACACAAAACACCTAGAGAGTATAAAAGAGCCCATTTAAAAATTTTGCCTGATTCCTGTTGGCCGAAGAGTAAGATTAGAACAAATATCCTCCTTACAGCTTTATAAATTGAAATTACATGGAAATGAGGCCACGAAGCCCCAATACGGAACTAAAGCACAGGAGAAGCAGGTAATAAAACATTAAAAGAATAATATTTAGCCTAAATTTATTTCCCCAGGTATTCATTTCTTATGGGTTAAATGTATAAAATACAAAGTCTGAAGAGCCTAACCCTCAACAACATACCTAAATTCTTTCTAAATCTCCAAAGTCACATTCCAAAACATTGTGCTTCCCTATATCATCTTGAAGGTTGACACTAGAAACAGCTGGAAACTAGAAGCCTTACAGAAGCAGTCTACTCTGGTGAGTTTTCCTTCTACTTGTTTATAAAGGAGGAAACTTAACAGAGAGGAAGAGGGTTCTCCTGTCTTGAAGGATACTGACCCACATTTTGTCCCTCTCTCCCTAAACACAGAATGCAAAGTAGCTCTAGTTAGATTTTCTTTCCTTTACCTAAGTTTCTCAGTCATTTTTCATAATAAAAATGTACTAGATTAAGAACTATTGTTCCAAAAAGACCCTAGAGAACTAAAAAAAAAAGGTAATTGGATTTAAAATTCTATTAGGATGTATTGTTAAAGTAAGAGAGATTAGATCAGGTGAGAAACACTAACTTTAAAAAACATGAAATCCAGGGAAGGTACTAGGAATGAGGTAAGGTAAAGGTGTGGATTCTCAGTACACTGAATGAACATACAAGCCAAATACACACAAGTACTGGCTCCCTAAGACTTCTTGCATAACCCAACATCTGAGCACTGATTTCCCAGAGTTGGGAAGTTTGAATGAAAATATCAAACAATAAGTTTCATTTTTGCCATATAATCTTTAAGTAGAGGCTTTAAAAATTAGGCGTAACCTCTTAAAATTCCATTCTCCTTCCTATCCTCAACTCTTTCGTTTCAAGGGCAGCTTAAAAATGAGAGCTCACTTAATGAGTTTCTTCCTCTTGGATTTTGCTGGATTGCCACTTCCTATGCAAAAGGCATTGATTCCTGATCTGCTTGCTGTCTACTTTTGGTACTTCCTTATATTTGTATCTTCTTGTAAGTAATTGATCATGTTACTTTCTTTTGCAAGAGAAGATCAACACTGATTTTTTTTAAATAGACAGTACAGGGACACACATGCATCAGGTGTTGGAGGAAGGTCTCGCACCTTTCATATAGCCCGGCTCCTATCTGCTGAGTTTACTGGCTGGCTTACTCTTCCCTGGGGGGTTTTTAGTGCTGGCTGAGTGGTGGTGAAGGCTGCCGGATCCTTTCAAGCCATTCTTGCTGGGTTTGCAATGCTCCTGCTGGCAGGATCTCCTGGAGGAGGAAGATCCTGAGTGGCTGGGAGGTGACTTGCTTCTCCCCAGATGTGGGGATGAACTCCTCTGGTCATGGTGGGGCCGTCCTGCCCGGGATGGTGAAGAGCTAGATGTGCGAGGCAAGGATGAGCTTCGAGGAGAGGCACTGGGACTCCTGCGCGGGGCCCCTGGACTCTTGGGTGGTGTTTTTGGATTGTGCGGCGACCCTGGAGTCTTGCACTGAGTGGTGCTCCGAGATTTCTGAGATCCATTTTGAAGAATTTGGGCCAGGCGGGAGAAAAGGTCTGAGTCGGAGTTACTGCTCCCTAGGACTTTATATCTGCGTAGCCTAAAAAGAACAAAGAAGAAATATTTTAATTCATTTCAAGTGTGCTTAAACACTTGAGTGTATACACATACACACACAATGTGTGTGATGTGTGTAGAAGTCAGAAAATACACTCACAGGATACAAGGTGACACTTTTACATACTGGTTATATGACTCTGGATGAATTATTTAACCTCTCCCAGCTTTCAGTGGGAATACTAGGTAACTTGCAGGGTCACTGAGATGTAATTCAAGAACTTAGATGAATGCCTGCCATGCAAAAGCATTTGATTATATTAGTTCCCTTTTTTTCCTATGGTATGTTTGCTCTACTAATTTTAAGATTAATTCAGTGAATTGTCTCTAGCATGTCAGCACATGAGAGAGAGAGAGAAAGTAAACCAGACCATGTAAGGCTGCTAGGACAGTAATTCTGCAAACATTAAATCCCACAATGTAAATCCTCAGCATGAACTCTACTTGCCAACAGTAGTAGGAAGTACAGATAAAAGCATACCTTATCTCATTTAATAATGTTCAAAAGAGTAGTCATTGGTTTTTCTGGATCTCAGTTTCTATCCCTGTCAATAGCCTGGGATTCAAGAGAGATGGATGTGGGGACTGACTGTCCTTGTTACTGGCAACTGAGCTTGGGCCTCAGAATGCTAAATCTTGAGAGTATTCATATAAATAGCAATGTCTTCCCTGACCTAAATGTCCTTCTGGTTTCACCTAAGAATCAAATAAAAATGGTAAATATAAAAATGTTTTTGGCCTGGCTCAAACCTGTAATCCCAGCACTTTGGGAGGCCAAGGCGAGAGGACTGCCTGAGCCCAGGGGTTCAAGACCAGCCTGGGCAACTTGGTGAGGCCTCATCTCTACAATAAATCAAAAAATTAGCTGGGTGTGGTGGCATGTGCCTGTAGTTCCAGCTACTTGAAAGGTTGAAGCAGAAGGATCGCCTGAGCCCAGCAGGTCGACACTAGAGGATGGTCGTGAGACTGCCACTGCACTCCAGTCTGGGTAAGAGTGAGACTCCAACCTAAAAAAAAAAAAGAGAGTGGTAGCCCACGCCGGTAGTTCTGGCTACTTGGAAGGCTGAGGCGGAAGGATCACCGGAGCCCAGCTGGTCGAGGCTGCGGTGGCCGGGAGCAGCCACTGCACTCCAGTCTGGGCGACAGAGTGAGACTCCAACTCAAAAAAAAAAAAAAGAGAGAGAGCGAGAACGAGATAGATATACATGCACCAATCTAGAATGATAGAGATATATTAGGTTAAAAAAGCCATATGTAGAATAGTAAGATTCCATTTTTCTTTTAAAAAATTCCAACACTGTATATATGTTTCAGTAGGGAGATGAAAGTTGCTTTGCTTTAAAATTTTTACAACAGACATGTCATTTTTGTAATTTGCAAATATCAATAGGCATTTTTAAACTTATTATACAGACCAGGCATGGTGGCTTGTGCCTGTAATCTCAGCATTTTGGGAGGCTGAGATGGGAGGATTTCTTGAGCCCAGGAACTCAAGACCGGCCTGGGCAACAAAGCAAGACCTCGTCTTCACAAAAAAGTAAAGAAATTTTGCCAGGTGTGGTGGTATGCACCTGTAGTCCCAGCTACTTGAGAGGCTGAGGTGGAAGGATCACCTGAGCCCAGGAGGTCAAGGCTGGAGTGAGCCGTGATTGTGCCACTGCACTCCAGAATGGGTGGCAGAGTAAGACTCTGAGTCAAAAAAAATTTTTTTAAAGTAATAAGATAATGGTATACTAATCAGTTAATAAAGGAGTTCTAAACAGAAATTGTAAGTCTTGTCAATGTCTTTTTGACAATACTTAAATCTGTCAGTCACTATCATGGCCAATAACAAAACGAGTTATTCATGATCTCTCTGAATTTTCTCTCCTTTTCATTCCCCACCACCTACTAACCTATGATAAGGGAAATAAAACTCATTTTAGTTAAGCCTACCCTCATAGGTCTAATAGCAAAACCGGATGACTGGAATAAAACAATTCCTCTGTGCCAGGACTTAAGTGGAAGTTCCAGGGTCCAGATGAGATCTGGGTTAGTCAATTCTGTGATATCTGGCACGATGTCACACATCTGGCTTGGTTACAAAGTACTACTTTTAGGGGAAACATAAAGCATTAAATAATAAATGTTGATTAAGATTTGTTTATGTTGTATTCCGAAGCCACTCAAGCCATAGAATGTACCATCCATATTAAATATAAATCCCAAGCAGAAGAAAAAGGGGATAGTTGAATGTTGTTCATGGAATTACCTTTTTTTTTTTTGTTTTTGCATTGGAGTCTCAGTCTGTCGCCTAGATTGGAGTGCAGTGGCATATTCACGGCCACCGCAAGCTTGATCTGCTGGACTCAGGCGATCCTTCCACCTCAGCTTCCAAGTAGCTGGAACTATAGCTGTGCACGATCACTCCCCACTAATTTTTTAATTTACTGTGGAAACAAGGTTTCCCCAAGTTGCCCAGGCTGGTCTCGAACCCCTGAGCTCAGGCAATTCTCTCACCTTGGCCTCCTAAAGTGCTGGGATTACAGGCTTGAGCCCAGCCCATGGAATTATCTTTTAAAATGCCTCAGCTAGGTCAGGCTCCGTGGCTCAGTTTGTAATCCCAGCATTTTGGGACACCGAGGCGAGTGGATTGCCTGAGCCTACGGGTTCAAGATCCGCCGGGGCAACTTGGCGAGACCTCATCTCTACCATAAATCAAAATCAGCCAGGCATGGTAGTGCGCGCCTGTAGTTCCAGCTACTTGGAAGGCTGAGGTGGAAGGATCGCTGAAGCCCAGCAGGTTGAGGTGGCAGTGGCCGGGAGTGGCCACTGCACTCCAGCCTGGGCGACAGAGTGAGACTCCAACTCAAAAAAAAAAAAAAGGAAAAAAAGCCTCAGCTAAATGACTGCTATTTAAATCCAACATTTAGTTATTCTCAGATCTAAAGCTCTAGGGCAAGTCAAACCTGGGGACTTATGGGAATGATACAGATAAAATCTCACTAAAACACACTTCAGAAATCCTTCTAACAGGGGGAGGCCTACTGTTCTACTGTCTAGAACAGGATAGGGTTTTCATGTACATTTATTTTTATTTTTCTTGTGTTTTTGTTAAAAGACTATCCTTCTCTTTCTCCTCTAAGGGTTTAGACACTCTATGAAAGTGAGCAATGACTCCAAGGAAAGTACTCTTAACTAGTTCACCACCTGCCAATATTTTACCCTCTTCTTCAAAATGTAAACATTCTATGGCCATATATCATGAGGATATTTAAATTAAAAAGTATACTATGTAGTATATATTAAAGCAATTCTTTCTTATGTATGGTTGTACATATCATCAGACCTAGGGAAACCTTTCATGGATGTTTTGGTCTAATTCATTAGAATCAGATAAGTAGCACTGTTATCATCAAGTTACGGACAAAGTATTCTTCACTAGCACTTGATATCACAATGGCAATATAGGACATAATATAATTCTGACTGGACAAAGCTAGAAAATTACTGATTATAAAAACAGATTGGAGAGAGATTTAATCTTTATTGCATGCTAAGTACTGTACTAAGTACTAGATGTATGATACTTTATTGAATCCTCCCAAAGCCATTAAGCAAATGTTTTATCCATTTTTTGATGAGAAAATTGAGGTTCACACCTGCTGGAAAGTGGGAGAGCCAAGAATTAACATGGATCAGAGAAAATTCTGGAAAGATGGCAGAGTAGGAAGCACCAGGAGTCAGCTCCCCACCTAGATAACAACTATACTGGCAGAATCTTTCCAAGATAATTATTTTGGAAATCTGGTCTACTGAAGACTTGCAACTTCCAGAGGAAGGCTTGGACTGTGAATTACAGTTAATTTTGGTAAAATTCGGCTCTTAGCACAGTAGAAGCTACCCAACCACCATCCCCAGTCCTGTGGTAGGCAGCTGTGCACTTATTTCTGGAGCAGTTTGCACACAGCCTGCAGGAGCCAGAGTGGGCAAAAAGAACCCTGTCCTGGCTGGCACAGTGGCTCATGCCTGTAAATTCCAGTACTTTGAGAGGTGGAAGTGAGAGGATTGTCTGAGTCCATGGGTTTAAGACCAGCCTGGGCAACTTGTGAGACCTCGTCTCTACAATAAATAAAAAAATTAGCTGGGCATGGTAGCGCGCACCTGTAGTTCCAGCTACGTGGAAGGCTGAGGAGGAAGGATCACCTGAGCCCAGCAGGTCAAGGCTGCGGTGACTGTGAGCATGCCACTGTACTCTACTCTGGGCAACAGAGTGAGACTCCCACCCAAAATAATAATAATAATAATAATAATAAAATGAATGAAAAGCCCTGTCCTTCAATTATTGGAGATCTGTGCTGATTGCTCATTGCTGCTTCTGATCAGAGAGGGGCAGAGAAAGAGGTGGGCAACCATTCTTTTATCTCCCCTCACTGCTGCAAGCCTATTTTCCTCAGGCTGAAGTGACTTCCAGGGGATCTAAAGGGCCAGTGCCCTTTTTTTCCATCTTTCATTTTTCTCTTTTCTGCTCTTGGGAGCCAGACATTAAAGACTAAGATATTCAAAAGCAACCACATATACTGGGGAAATTACACATACCCAGGAAAAGGTGTAGGCTCAGAAAAGACCTAAGAAGACCTTAAATTTACACCTCAGGCTGATCTTCAACACAGAGATTGACTACAACCATATATATATAAACCCATCAAATCCTGAAGAAGGAGAAAAAACTCATTTTCAGAGTTATTACATTATTAGATTCAAACACCTAATTTTCAACAAAAAATTTTAAAAGCATATACAGAAACAGGAAGTATAGCCCATTCAGAGGAGAAACAGACACAGATCTACCTGAAAATACCTGATGATAGATCTAT